ATCAGCATTTTTATTGGAATTTATTGAAATTTATAACATTACGTTTATATTATATGTTGAAATAGTTCAAGCAGAAATACTTTTATATTCAATAAATATTTATTAAAACATAATTGAATTTAATTTAGTGACACAAATATTAATTCAATCGAAACAAAATTGCATCAAAAGCTCATCGACAAAGCACCAGATTAGCATGTTAAATCTAACTTTGCTACATTATTACCTAATCTGGATAACAGCTTTATTCGCATAATGTTTGAATGTATTAATTAACGATTCAATAAACTGCTTTTGTAATAAAATAACAATCCGAAATTTAGCATGTTGTTTGTAATAAAATAGCATGTAAATCTATTATGTTCTAAACTGCTTAAGAACTATTTCATCAAATAAACAACCTGATGCAACTCTTTAGTGCGTCTGCCTATAAAAATTTTATAACCTCAACGGCTCTAAGAATTGACGTGAATGTTCGCGTTGTTGAAATCTGCTTAGGAAAAGTAAAATTCTATTTTCTGAAACATAACATATTTACGGGAAAGAAAACAAAGAGATCGTTTTATAGTCACCAGAAATTAAAAGTAGTACATGACGAAACCTTTATTTTAGTGAATACAGTCAATTCAGTCCATTAGAACAAATAAATGGGTATAGTGATATATATATATATATAATATATATATATAATATATATATATATTGATACTTGTTTTTTAATTAAGAATAATTTAGAAATAGTGTGACATAAAACATTCTTAATTTCAATGTTTCAGATTATAATCACAGGAATCCTTAAAGTAAATGCAAATCTATAACTTTTGTTCTATTAAATTTAATTCAATACCAAATAGCAATTTTTTTATTTATTTATTTATAATATATATATTATTTTTCAAATCTCAGTCAGACAGAGGTGCCTGGTATGAGAGATATGAAAACAGTTTTCATATTTTATATATACATTTCATTTGATTATTTCATGAATATAATATCTATTATAATAAAATATCTTCATATAACTTTCCAATCTTCTTTGTCTTCCATTTCCTTATACTATTTCTTTATTTTTCTTTTAAATTTATTGTCCTCATTAGTCATCTTTATATCGTTGGCAATTCATTATATATTTTACCAGGGCTCCATATGACATTTCCTCTCAATTTCTTTCTATTGTGTTCAATGTGAAAATGTTGTGTTGTCTAGTATAGTGTTCATGTATATCTTGATTTATGTCTATTGTGGTACTTGTTTTAATTCTATTATATTTCATTTTGTGTATTAGTTTGCATTTCTCTATTTTATTTATGTTAATTAGTGAATGATTATTTAATTGTTTCTGTCTGTTTCGGTGGGTGTTCAATGTAATTAAATTTCTAAACAAATTATCATCGAAATACTCTGTCTGAAATTGTAGGGCAAATTCTGATACAAATTCAAGTGCAATAATACTGTAGAAGTTATACTGTAAAGAATAAAACTATTTTGCTGATAACCAAAACCTATTTTGCAGTATTTTGCCAGAACAAATATTTTGCATTTGCCAGAAAAACTGCTTGCATTAGATTTTATGTATGCAAAAATAGTAACATTTTAATTTTACGTGAAATGACCATTTTTTTATTTCAGAATCGACTAAACTTGCAGTACTATTCCTTGTCAGAGAAGTTAATTAGCATTATTATGCTAACTTAAATTTGATGTAAAATAACAATTGCAACTATTTATACAATAAAAATAAGTTTTCTTAATGAATCAGAATTGATGAGATTGAGCACAAAACTTTTAATGTTTATTTTAACACTATTCCTACCGACATTTCATGTTTGCTATTCCTACCGCGACCGGTCAAATGACCGGTCATGCAAAATCGGTATTTTTCAGTATTGAATGAAGAGTTAATGCTAGTTTAAGAGTTTATAAATACAAATACAATATATTTCTTTTATTTTATAATGCGAATTCTACATTTTATACTGTTTTATCCAATTTTTCACGATTTTTTTTCTTAGAGTGTATTTTCTGCACACGCATTTTTTACGTTTTTGGCTGATTTTGTTTTCTCTATCATTTTTCTAAAGCATTATCTGGAATAGTTTCTTTTAGGGAATCTGTTTTGTACTTGTACTTAGCTGATTTTTTTCTGAATTCTTGTTGGAACTATACGACAAGTTAATTGGAATAGAAAGTTCCTGCCTTGTACATTGTCTTCTCGTAATTTCTTTATGTAACAACAATGGATTTATCCTGAATACATCCAAAATAATGTAAATTCTTGATGAATTCTCTCTAAAATTCATATTTTACCAAATAATTTCTGACTATTTTATGAATGGCATCTACACCAGTCCCGACGCTAATACCAATAGAATTAACTCCCGTATTAGTGTAATTTTTTCAACATATGTGTATGTAAGTGAAAATTAGAATCTTCTTTCTTATCTTCCAAAATTGTAAATATTATTTGAGTATTGAAGTCTTTGATTTTTCGTTCTGCCAGTATTTATAGCTGTTATATTGCTTCAATTGTACCTACCATCAGTTTTCTTTTACTAAAAGTTTAGCTATATGTAGGATGGTAAAAACGTTATATATTTTTTATGTCGTACTAGCGATTTTGATAATACGGTTTCATCAGTTATAAATCTTCAAAGAATATCTCAGTTTGCTACGTATACTGGATGGTTACCAAAATTTTACACCCCATTTGTGCGATTTGCAGGGCATAATTATATTTACATCGTATATTGAACAGTTACTAATATTTATACGTTTTCCTAAATACTATTGAACATATGTTGAATGAATTTACACCTTACCTTTATTGAAAATATATGTTTGTCGATAGTAATACGTAGTCTTTTACAACAATTTTGATTGCTGTCAATGTAGTTGAACCAACCTTTGGATTCAAAACAAAACCTATCGATTTATTGTTTAGATTCCTTCGTAAAAATCTGTCTATACATAGACATTGAGAAAATTGAGAAATCCCACTTTTTATACCGTAGAAATGCAATATTTATACTACTTGCCTTATTTGCGCACCGCGCATACAGAATCGAAAAAAATGCATATAAATTTGCAGAAGGCAGTTTTTACCAGTCTAAATTCTTCTGAATTTACATTTTCTTGTAAGTTCCAAAATATTCTTAACAATTACTACAAAAAATCCCATCCGAACATCGTCTTTCGTACTACCGGTCAAATGACCGGTCGCGGTAGGTAAGACAGCATACAATTTTTTTTCCAAAAATAAAAATTGAAAAACAAATTAACATTGAAAAATGTTTTATACTCACATATTAGGAAAAGTCATAAAGTTTGATGACGATTCAATTACGTTGATATGAAAAATACTAATCGAAAAATCAAAAACGGTCATTTGACCGGTCCCGGTAGAATAGTGTTAAGAAGCTCCTAGTGTTTTTTTTTATAAAAACGAATATATGAAATTCGTATCCATTTTATGTGCATTTACGTTCAATCTAATAAGAGTACTAATATGTCATTTTTTTATTAGGAAAAGCATAACATAGTATAATGAACAAATGCATTTGATAGATCTGTTTTTCTTCATTTCATAGTTGTCTTTGTCCGATGCTCACCAAGTGGCTTTATTAAGGGTACCGGAATTTCTTAGCGGCAACATTACCTGCGAAGTTTCGATAGAGGAGAAATATACAACCGAAATAGCAACAGGGTTAGTATATGTAGATTTATTGAATCTACATTGGATTATTGAGATTAAGTACATTCTGTAGACAGCACACTATCATCAATTACATATGTTTCCAATGTACTTCTTAACGCTGAACACGAATCAAAATTGCCTAATTAAAAAAATGTAATTAATCAAATTTAAAATTAACTACTACGATTTGGTAAAAACGCAGTCAAAATGACCGTTTCGCGGCCGCGGATTTGTGATCAATGCATAAAATATTTAAACAATTTAAGTTTAAAAACAATACGCGATGGGGATTTTATATCTTACTAATATTTCAGCTCATTCGTATATTTCATTAAAATGTTCCTCAAGAATGGTTCTAAATTTAAAATAGTACTAAACAAATCCTAAACATAACAACTATTTTAAAATAGTTTATTTTTTATTAGATATCTTTTCGTTCTTGCGCCTAAAACGACCATTGACATGCCGCTGGACAGACCACAGAATGGTGAATCCCCTGCTTCATTGAAGAGTTCTGCTGGATATACCAATCACGAAAACTTTATAGTTTCAAATCATGATAAAATTATTAATCGAGGACATCAAATCTCCAATAATTTCCAAGTCATGGTTAGCTTATGTTATTTTATTATAACTTATAATGTACAATTTTAAGTTGAAGATATTATAATTTATTTTGAATACAATAAAGAAGCTAATTAATTTTATAAGTCATCTGTTAATAAAAACTGGCAAAGTTTTTGTGTCATATATTTAATATATAGTTTGTGGTTTAACAAATGGTGAAAGAAAGATCTGCAGAATCATGTCTCAATAGAAATCAAATTTTGTTAATTAGACTATCCTTAATTATAGTTATTATTACTATTATACCATTATTATAATAATGAAAATGAATTAAACCTGGGGTAGATTGCCACCACTTCTAGCTGGCGTAATTTTATTCTTTCTAACAATAAGTAAAGATTTAGAAATAAAAGATTTTATAACTGAATAACTGAATAACTCGGTGAGAACAATATGTTAAAATACTTTTAAATAAATGGATTATGTATTATATGTAAAAATAAATTAGAAACTTTTATAAATTTAATAGATATTAGAAATTGTGAGCAAAAAATGGTTATGTGCAATTCATATATAAAATAAATGCAATATTTCATAAATAAAATAAATAAGTCTTAAATAAAATAATTTGTTTTTCAATATTCATGGACACTTTTATGATAAGACCGTTAGATTGTAAGTTAAAGATTAAAAGGAAAAAGGCTCGAAGGACCAATGTTAAGGATGGCGGTTGATTAGACCCTTTCGGAATAGCTTATTGAATTCGACTCAATAGCTACTCCGAGGATTTTGTAAAATTGAGTATATTAAGGAAAATATTAATCCTTCTAGAGGACCAAGTAGATATAGACTCCAAAGAATCAATACTTATAAGCATATCATTGTCGGAAGAACATGATGATTGTGGCATGTCTTCTAGTTGTGAAATAATTATATTTTTGTATATAAAGATCTGCGTTTGAAGCAATGCATGAATTAATCAAAGTGCTCTGGATATTTGAGATAAATCGTTTTGATCATCTAAAATTTTTTCGGCATGCTTTATTTTTGCGTAAAGCTTTTCCAACGCTCTCGCGAGGTCATATTCCGGAATATAGCTAGGATTTTCTAACTGTTTCAATAGATTAATTTCATCGGAACGGTGCATGCATTGCTTGCGCGCATTCTCGAAAAGGCATAATTTTTTAAAAAATTGTATCTTACTTGAAGAAGAGCCAATATGATGAGAAATGTCGTAAGTTTCTTGGATGATTGAAAAATACATTAGCTGTTAGTCGATCGATCTCTGCATCAACGTCAAGTTCAAGTGCCATCTTCGATTACTATTTCCTTAATATACTCATAAATCCTAATCAAAATTAGGATCCCGCTCGAATGATCAATGTTAAAGATAGGAGTTGGTTAGACCCTTTCGGAATAGCTTATTGAATTTGACTCAATAGCTATTCCGAGGATTTTGTACAATTGAGTATATTAAGGATATACTTGATGTTATCTGCTTGGAAGGCGGTCCACTCGGACGGTGGCTTGAAGTCCGGAATTTTCAGATCGCTGTAGGAATTGGATGCTGAGGAAGGAATTGACTCCAAAAGCACAAATAAGGAACACTGGCTAAGATTAATAGAGTATTTATTTACACAAATAACATCAAACACTCGGAAATATACAACAAAACTAATACGGAAAACTAGTGAACAACTTACATGAACAAACAATAACGCTCATGATTAACGTTGCAAATCGTTGCAAATTGTCTTCTTTTGGTATTGCCAGAGACTAAGTATTGTCCGACTCCGACAAATGCAGCTTGCTCGTCCACCATCTTTCTGGCGCGAACATAAAGATTAATATATATATTTTAATCATTTTTCACAAAAATAACTTTTATATAATAACAACTCCCACGCCCAAACAAAATGGTCTGCTAGCATGTACGTGGAGTTGTTTTACCTATTTGTTTTTATTTTGATTTTTTATGTAAATTATTCATAGATAAACAAGTATATATATATTCCCATCAAACTACCTTTTTATTCTTTAATTTTTTCAAATCTTGTAAAAAGCAATATGATTTTACAATTTGAATTTTGAATTGAATAGATTCATCTAATCACTCTTCTTTTATCTATGCATCTAATTATCATTTATCTTAGGATTTCAAATTGCCCGCCATAGATATGGAAATATGTTGTTCGCTATCTTTTATAAACAACTTCACTAAATGCAATATTTCAATATGGCTGAGTTTGTTTATAATTTTGTACAAATGTCAAGTTATAGTTAGTTTTTGTGATATTTTGGAAAAAGATGGAAACTGGAAATAAGGACAATATGATTTGTAAATTATTAATGTAATCAGATCTTGTTTAACGATTAGTGATGAAATGACATCAATATATAATACTATCAATTGTGAAAACAATACTGTTCATTTTAATGAACTCATATCTGTGATAACTGGCGCGTTGGTACGTTTCTTGTTTAAATTGTAATATTATAACAATTAAAATTATATGTAAAAACAACTTTCAGGTGTCTGTTGATGCAGACCTTCCCAGTCAAATATGCGTAGCTTGCTCAACAAAATTTCTACAATATTTTCAATTCAAAATTCAAATTTTAAAATCATATTGCTTTTTACAAGATTTGAAAAAAATAAAGGATCAAAAGGTAGTTTGATGGGAATATATATTTTTCAGTGGCGATCACATGTATTTGTTTATTACACTTTTAGAGATGCACAAATTATCATAATAAAGTAGTTGAACCTGAATGGTTGGAGCTAGATGAGCAAGGATTTCTTCCAGATGACAGTGAACCTTTAGACATAGTTAATCAAGGTATTAATGGTGAAGTGCAATGTTCAAATGCAACTGATATGATCTCTGTGGCTTCTCTTTCTATGAGTTATATTATTACACAATATGAAAAACAAGTTCGAACTTTTTATCAAATTGCCTAAATGAAAAACAATATTTATTTCTACTTGAATGCTAAATGTTTATTGAACTAAAGAAGATTCAAAATGTTACATTTTTATTAAGTTTAAACTAATTACCTTGTTAAAAAGTTTTCAATATTTGTTTTACTATTGGATTTAATCATACATTAATTATTAATTATTATCATACATTAATTATGTATTATTCAATTCTAGATTTCTTATTATAAATTCTATAAGTGTTTTCTGCAAATCATTCAAGGTGATATAATTATTTATAGAGCATTCACTTCTTTATTATCATTTTTAGATTATGATGTAAATTATACTGGAAGTCAAACACGATCAACAAGAAAAAAACAAAATGCTACCTTTAAATTAAAATCTGATATTTCACCTTCGGTTGAATCAGATTCTGATGACTATGAACATAATATGAACAATATAGAAATAAACAAAAGTCCGGAACCTCATGTTACTCACCAAGATAATGTGAAGCCTAAAAATCTTATAAATACAAATAAGGACAATCTTACAATGAAATCAACTATGAATGAAAATAGGTTTATATCAAAGATTAATAATGCAAGAGAATCATTATTTTCAAATCCCCTAGAGCCACAAATTTGTAGTATTTGTTCTGAAACTTGCTTAAATATAAATGCTCTTATAAAGCATAGAGCTCAAAATCATGGGGCTAAAAAATTTCAATGCCAAAATTGCGGTATGTATTTTTCAAAAAGTAGAAAATATGCATTACGAATTATCAATATTTGAATTATATAGTAACAAATAAATATAAATAGTAACAAATAAATATATATTGTTGACATGATATTTTCATATCTCAGTCTGGCAGGGGTGCCTGGTATAAGAGATTATGAAACAATTTTTATATATAATATACTTATATATCTATATATATATAATATTTAAATAATTAGCTTGTACTTAATAGTTAATGTTATAATTATTATAATTTTTTTGAATTTAGGAAACGGATTTACAACTCTAAGAGGGTTGAGAATTCACTTGCGACTGCACACAGGAGAAAAGCCAGAGATATGTTCTGTGTGCAACAAAGCGTTTTCTGATCCAAGAACATTGCGGTAAATATTTTGTTTAGTTATAAACTTTTGTGTGAAACATAAATAAAATCCTAGAAAAAGTGGAATATTTTAAGTTAACTCAATAACATTTCATTATGATTTAAGTTACTATTAATAAAATACAATGTTATTTGTAGGAATCATGAACGAATACATTCTGGTCAACATCCATTTGAATGTGAGCACTGTGATAAACGATTTCCTGCAAGATTGGCACTACTTCATCATACTCGTTCGCATACAGGAGAAAAACCCAATAAGTGTCATATATGTTCAAAAAGTTATGTGCAAATGAATAGCCTGCAGGTAAACTATAGTAAAAAGAATATTCAACATCTTTACATTGATCATAACATGTTCATTTTAAAACTTTACTAATATATATTTTTTATTAATCCAAGACCACTCTTACAAATTAAATTTAGGAACATATTAATAACATTTATGCAAGCATTTGATGCAATTGTTTTCAATTGGATTAATTATATTTTTTTATTGTTAAAGACCTTTATAGATTATTTTAATTTTCTATTTCAATGTTGAAAATTATTGATAAAGTTTGTTTTTTTGGTTATTGAATGTTTCATAACAAGTATCTAAATGAACATATTTATTTTAAAAATGCAACATTAATGTATGCACAGTGAAAATAATATACCTTCTTGATACTATAAAAAATGTATAAATCAAGAAAAGTAAAGAAAGTTATTTTATAAATATTTGTAAATCAAGTCAAATAAAGTAAAATATTGTTATTTGATTGCAGATACATTTAAGAACACATACTGGAGAAAAACCTTTTATTTGTAAAATTTGTAATAGAGGTTTCACAAACACTACATCATTATCATTGCACCAGCTTACACATAATGGTAAGTATTCAAACAAAATTCAACACATTAATGCTTTCATGCTTTAACAATTTAACTTCTATTTAACGTTACACTTTGTTTTCAATAAAGGTGTTAAGAACTTTCAATGTAGTATTTGTGGTAAACGTATGGGGCGATCTGGAGAACTTACAATACATATGCGTACTCATACAGGTGAAAAACCTTTTGCCTGCAAACTCTGCGAGAAAAGATTTACAAACAGTTCGGCACTGACGGCACATATGCCAAGGCATACAGGTATTAATAATCATAAAAAAAAATTATTATCATTATTTTAAATATTTTTTATTTTCGTTTTTACTTTAAGAATAAACGTGTAAAATATTTTTTAGAATTTTTCAACTTGCTGAATGTTGACATATAGTGTGAAAACTTACATATAAAATAGTGATAGTAAAAAGTAAAAAATAGTTTTTTTTATTTTGACTGCTGCAATAAATTATATATGTATAACAACATACCTATGAATATAATTTATAGTTCGGTTGCTGAACGTATTCATCTCATATTTTTTAGAGTTAAATTAATTATTAAACATTATTATAATAATTATTATTATTGAAGGCATTAAAAATTTTGTTTGCTCCTACTGTGGAAAACGAGTGGCACGCTCCGTCGAACTGCGAATACACATGCGCACTCATACAGGTGAACGTAATTTCAAATGTGCATACTGCGACAAACGATTTGCAACTTCCAGCAATCTTCGATTACATGAACGCAAGCATACAGGTAATTTTCTCAAATACCTGTTTTTTATTTAAAAAAGTAAATGTTATCTACTTTATAATTAAATAACAAAAAACATATATATATATATATATATATATATATATATATAATCATTATTTATTGTATTAGTCACCAAATATATTTTACTTATGTGATTAATAATCACCCTACTAATTATCAGCATATTTATTGTTTATAATATATGTTCTAACAATATATTTAGTCATAATTATCAACGTCGCTTGTGAATGTAACAATTGTTATTAGAGAATATTTAGTTCCAATAACAAAAATTATACTATACTAAATGATAATGAGACGATTGATATAGCCCCAAACATTGTGAAGCCAAAATTAAACGTTTATCTCTGGCATTCTAGTGAAGCAATTAATGCTTCAGTGTGTAAAGAATTATTTCTTAAATTTGTATATCTAAGCATTTATTTATTTATAATTGTAGATTTAATATACTGAATTAAGATGATGTTTCCTTAGCTTCTTTGTGCCTGCTCTTTTGACATAAATTTACTCCTTATAGGTGAGAAGCCTTATGCTTGCACAATTTGTTCAAGAAGTTTTGCTGATTCTCATGTGCTTCGCAATCATATTAGAACCCATACTGGAGAACGCCCACATGAATGTCAAATTTGTCATTCTCGATTTGCTCAGCAGGCATCATTAAGGGCTCATATGAAAACACATAGGAATAAAGATGATCTCAATAATAGCGGTAAGATTCAATGATATACTGTA